CTCCTCTGCAAAGTTTGGCCTTCTGAACGTTTGCTCACTCACTGGCAAAGGTCAGCTTATTCAAGATCTAATATCTGACCGTAAGCTAGATTTTATTTGTCTAACAGAAACGTGGCAACAACAAAATGACTTTTTCCATCTGAATGAATCTACCCCACCGGGGTTTGTTTACATCGCCAAATCCCGCGAGTCCGGCCGCGGAGGAGGTCTCGCGATAATTCACCGCGAGAACTGGAAGGTCACGCCGGTTCACACACCTCCCTCTCCCTCCTTTGAGCACACTGTGTGTCTACTCTCCGGCCCTACCCCCACCGTTGTTGCCACCTTCTACCGTCCGCCCAAAATCAACAACTCTTTTATAAATGACTTTGCTACTCTAATCGCCCATCTCTCAGCTCTTTCACCCAACATTATTCTGCTTGGAGACTTCAACATTCATATGGATGAAGACAACAACCCCTTCACCAGAGACTTCACATCCTGCCTCGACAGCTGTGGCTTCCAGCAGCTCATTAACTTTCCAACCCACATAAAGGGCCACACTCTGGACTTTGGCTCTCGGTTAAATCACGCATCGTCTTCAAAATTCTTCTTCTCTTTCAAAGCTATCCACAACCTTTCCCCTCCGTACCTATCTGACCTCCTACACATCTCCATCCCCTCTCGCTCTCTCAGATCCTCCTCTTCACTACACCTCCATGTACCCTCTGCCCGCCTCTCCACCATGGGGAGCAGGACCTTCACCTGCTCTGCTCCTCATCTCTGGAACTCTCTACCCCCTGACTTAAGAAACACCACCTCTCTTTCTATATTCAAGACTGCTCTGAAAACACATCTCTTTAGACTCGCTTATCCTTAACTTTGCTCTATGTATTTTATATTCTTTACGCATTTTATATTCAGTATGTATTTTATATTCTGTATGTACTTTATATTCTTTCCGCATTTTATATTCAGTATGTATTTTGTATTCAGTATGTATTTTATATTCAGTATGTATTTTATATTCTTTTGACAGTTTTCCCTGGTTTAGAACAGAAAACGGTTCTTATGTTGTCAGAAAACTGACTCCTCTGTGTGTTTTTACACATTTAAACATTTACAACTGCATGTGCTTATGTTTATGTTATATATCTAATAAATGTGAGCTTTAGGGCTGTAACTAACGATTATTCCAATAATCAATTAATCAGACGATTATTTTTCGATTAATCAATGAATCGGCAAAAAAAGTTTTAATTTCCACCTCTTTATTCCAAAATTTGACTGACATAGCAAATCGCATAAAAAACAGGTGTGCTACTTGACTATTCTGTTAGTAAAATATTGAATAATTAAAAAAAAAGTTAGTCAAATAGCTTCAATAAAAAATAAATGTACGCAAAAATATATATAGTGGTTAGAGCAGTCGTCCTCCAATGCAAGAGTTGGGGGTTCGAATCCACCAGCAGTCACATGCTGAAGTGTCCCTGGGCAAGACACTGAACCCCTCATAGCCTCTGATGTGTGTCCATCAGTGTATGAATGTGATAAAGCTCTGATTGGTCTCTTTAGAATGATTTGTTCAATTATCTTTGTAGAGATCTAGTATAGGCTGTATGAATGGGTAAATGAGGCACAGATTGTTGTAAAGAGCTTTGAGTATCTAGATCAGATAGAAAGGCGCTGTATAAGTACAGTCCATTTACCATTTACACATTTACATTTACATTTAATTGAGGAGATGTAATAAATTACTTTAATTCCTGTGTAAATGCAATTCATCCTGCCAGACCTGCAGTGTCTTCAGACTTTGCCAGCAAATTAAAAGTTGAAGCTTAATCATTAAATTATTATCTTTGTGCAAAAAAGTTCAATCTGGTCCTCTGGACATTCAAAAAACAAGAAAACAAAAAAAACAAAAAACAAAACAAAGCAAAAAAATGTAGAAACGTTTCGTCTCTCATCCGAGAGACTTCCTCAGTCTGAGGTGCTGTATTCAGCTCAGTCTCCTAAATAGCACCTTCTCAGAGTGGATCAACCAGTTTGCTGCTGACAACCAGAACCAGCTGATCACATGCTCAAGAAGGACCATCAGCCTAACAATGGATCATTAGCACCTGATGGCTGTTTACTGTTCACAGAGGGCTGAGTGATACTAGCAATCACAGCATTGTAAGAGGGGGACAGTTGAACCTGGAGGCTCCACCCCTGTTTAACGATGGACGATTTCTTTTCACAAAGATGGCCTCCTTTACTCCTCTCTCAAACCATCGTTCCTCTCTGTCCAGGATGTGAACATCTTCATCCTTGAAAGAGTGACCGCTGGCCTGGAGATGAGTGTAGACCTCAGAGTCCTGGCCTGATGATGTTGATCTTCTGTGCTGGTCCATCCTTTTGGCCAGTGGCTGTTTAGTTTCCCTGATGTAAGACTGATCACCCTCCTGACACTGAACAACATACACAACATTACTCTGTTTGTGCCGGGGGACTGGATCTTAATGTATTTTGGGGTTTAAAAGCCACTGGGACGTTATGTTTAGAAAATAAACGTCTCAGTTTCTCTGATACCCCCTCAACATATGGAATGACCACTGGTCTGGGTCTGGGTTCCTCCTTTTCACCTGAAGGCTGACTGGAGTCCTGCTTGGGTTTCTTCTCTGCTTTCAGGAAGGCCCAGTTAGGATATCCACATTGCTCTAGAGCCTGTCTTGTGGGGGATTTCTCCTTCTGCCTGGCTCCTGAGCTAGTGGGGACGCTGTCTGCTCTGTGGTACAGAGTCCTGATGACTCCTAACTTGTGCTCCAAAGGGTGATGGGAGTCAAACTGCAAATACTGGTCTGTGTGGGTGGGTTTGCGGTACACTTCGGTTTGCAAAAGTCCTCTATCAGAGACTGAGACCACACAGTCCAAGAAAGCCAACCTGACATTTTTTACATCTTCTCGTGTGAACTTGATGTATTTATCCACAGAGTTGATGTGGTCAGTAAAATGTTGGACTTCCTGAGATTTGATTTTAACCCAGGTGTCGTCAACATACCTGAACCAATGACTTGGTGGTGTCCCTGAAAAGGACGTCAAGGCTCTCTTTTCTACCTCCTCCATGAACAGGTTTGCAACAATAGGAGAAACTGGAGACCCCATAGCACACCCATGTTTCTGCCTATAATATTGCTCCCCATATGTGAAGTAGGTTGACTGCAGGCACAGTTTCAAGAGTTGACACAGTTGTTCTGTAGAAAGCGTGGTCCTGCTGCTCAGAGTGGTGTCTGATTTTAATCTTAAACTGACCACCTCTACTGCATCATCAACAGGAATGCACATAAAAAGTGATGTGACATCAAAAGAGACCATTGTTTCATCAGTCTCCATGATGACATCCCTCACCTTATCCACAAAGTCCATGGTGTTCTGTATGTGGTGTTCTGAGCTGCCAACTAAAGGGATGAGTACAGACGCCAGATATTTGGAAACATTGTAAGTGACAGAGTTAATCATGCTAACAATAGGATTTTTCTACCTGGATTATTGAGCATGTATCAGGATATTATCTTTGTGTTAGATTTATTTATAAATCACATTTAAACACTGCTTATACCAATTAAATTGAATAAAAACACATGTTCTCTATCACTGCCTTTAATCAGCAAACAAACAAGCAGCAGCTTCAGCTACAGAGAGACTGACGTTACGTTTTCTCATTTGGAAACAGAACAAATGTAGAATATTGTAGAGACTCACCTGCTGCTGATCCTTCATCCACATCGTGGTGAAGTTAGTTTACGACTCCGACATGTTGACGTTTCATCAGTGTGGTTGTCACTTTTCAAAGCTGCATATTGTACAGTTTTTATCTTTGTCAAGTGCTCCTACAGTGTCGAGGACTTGGGTCTAACAGTTTTCTCTGCGTCGGTCATTTTGTCAAATTTACTTAATTTCCTTTGAAAACAGCCTCTGTCTGCTCCCCCTCGCTCTGTTCAACTCGCGCTGCAGAGTATTTTCTTTTCAAACTTTATTCAGTCAGCCAGCATTGACCATGCTCTGCAGATTAACAAAACGGATCTGCAGCGCCATGAGAGACGCTTAATCGCACGACACAACGAATCGATAATGAAATTCATTGCCAACACTTTTAACCATCGATTTTATCGATTTTATCGATTCGTTGTTGCAGCCCTAGTGAGCTTAACCCAGACCAACGATAACTCCCTGCCTCCGCTCAGGCAACCGTGCTGCCATCTGAGAGCTGGACGCTGAGTACTGACGTCATAACAAAGCGCTATTAAAGTGACAGTACAAATTTTAGTTTTTAACATAACACTTTATAGAAAACTCTTCAAACATAACCAACATGAGGGTTCTTCAGTGTTAATCAGGATTTGGTGAAATTTCAAACATTATAATTAAAACTAAACGCATATTTTCTAAAGTTGTCACACAGAAAATGAAATGACATTTTTACAACCTCTAAGCAGACATATTATGCGACCCCCTTGTGCTCTCTAGCGCCCCCCATGGGGGTCGGGCCCCCCAGATTGGGAACCACTACGCTAAACGAATGCTAAACAATACGCTAAACGATCTAAGATATACGCTAAAGGCTAAACACTAATAATGTAAAAATAATACGGTATATTAAACAGCATCCCAAACATGAGTCCGTAGTCAGCAGATGGGTATGAATGAATACAGCAGCATGACATAGTCAAGAGCATGATATCAGCTCATTTATATCTTTATTATAAGACGGAGCTTGTTCCTTGAATGTTTTAAATAAGATCTTTTATCATCTCATTATTCTTGTGCATTTGTTGTTTTTCTGTGTCATTGTCTTTTTTTCTCATTTGCTCCCGAAAGACTTTCAAAAATGTATATCCTTTTTTATTGTTAAGGTAAAATATGTTTCAGATTCAGATCTGACTACCTACAATTTTTTGAATGATCCATCCTGCAACTAATGATCCACAACCTGTTAATAGCAGTTTTGATGTAGATTATTTTTTCTTTCTGTGTCTCTGCAGCTCTTCCACGTGGCCTATGTCTTGATTAAATTTGCCAATTCTCCTCGTCCAGACCTGTGGGTTCTTGAGAGGTCCACAGACTTTGGACTGACCTATCAGCCATGGCAGTACTTCGCCTGTGAGTATCTAATGTAGAACAAATGAATACCAGTTGTAATAAATGAGCAGTCACTCAAGTGTTCAGCTCCAACTTTATTCTCCATGTTACAGGTCTGCCTCAGGGCAATCATTACAGAGGAGAGGGGAGTGGGCTGGTCTTATATCATTGCATTGTCACCTGATTGGCTGTAGCAGCTGGTGGCTGTGGTGGGCTGTAGTGGAATTCCAGCTATTCTTGCCAACAGGTCACAGCTTGAAGATTACCTGATCAAATGTTTGTCCGCAGATATGGGTGGAAACAGACATGTGGAGAGTATGTAGACAGTTGGGATGAATGTCACATTCAACCTGTCTTTCTCCACCAGTATATCTCCACTTGTCTGTCTCTGCATTCAACCTGGCTGTCTCCACAATTTGTACTGCTGAAAAATTTCCTAGTAGAACCTGACCAATATGGAATTTTTGACTGTCGCTGATACCGATATTGGGAGGGGAAAGCGACTGATGTAATGGTTGACAGTTTTTGAGCTTTGGCCACCCCCAAGAATCTAAGAAAACAATGAGTGGAACGGGGCTTGTTTATTTAGCATGGCTGTTATCAACCATGAAGTTAAGCAAATCAGATTCACATTAGGTTTGCAAGTGGTTTACTGGTCATAAAAAACAGCTACTAGGGAGAACAATCCAGTGTGTCTCTTGTGCCATTCCCAAGCCTGGGTAAATTGGTCAAGGTTGTGTCAGAAAGGGCATACAATATACAACAGTTTTGCCAAAACTATAATGCAAATTTATCAAAGCAACAACATACTGGATTGGTCAAGGCCTGGGTTAACAATGACCGCAACCAATGCTGTTGACAAACAGGGTGCCGACTGTAAGTCAAAGACCACGAGGAGGGAAACGTGTCGAGAAAGAGAGAGAAAAGTCAAGAATGTAGGACTGAGGGTGGCAACTCTGAGGCCCTATTTACACGGACATGCAGGGGGAAACATAGTTTTGTTCAGATGTTGATTCGAGGAAAACATCTGCGTTGACACGGACAGATTTTGTGTTTACATGCATCTGTAGGAATCCCCCACCCCCACCCCTACAAATCCGTTGTTGTTGCCATGACATATTAGTTGGCGCTGTGAATTTTGTACATTCACCTAATGCGCATGCGTGCTGCCTCGGTCCGCTCCCTGTAAGTACTTTCCTTTGGGTTAAAATCCCAGCAAGCAAAAACTTATCAAGTTAAAGCTGGATTTTGGATACGAGTTGACAGATTTGACGCCAAGAGGGACCGCTTCGTCTAACAGCTCGACATCGGTCACTGAATGGACCAGAACTGATGAGGATGATGTCGGATTTTCTACTCCGTGATAATCAGTAGCCGATTTACAGCAGGTAAATCAACGTTCTTAATAATGATAACGTTGGTTACGTACTATAACCTCAGATTCTATGAGTATAGGCGCAGCCCTTTAAGGCTGTCGCTAGTGGGTTTATCCCAAGGCGCGCAGCGCAGCACTGAAAACTTTAGTCCATGCCCACCTACTGTGTGGGCCTCATCCCCAGTCCATATAAATTACGGTGAGACCGGGTAATCGACTCCCAAATAGCTTTTTTCTTTAGCTATTTAGGAACCAGTGAGGCCCAGAGCTTAAAGGGCTGCGCCTATACTCATAGAATCTGGGGTTAAAGTATGTAACCAACATTCTATTTCGTATAGGCTCCGCCCTTTAAGGCTGTCACTGGTGGGTTAAAGGCTAAGTAGGATGTAGTCTATGCCTCACTGGGTCCATTCAGATACAACATGAAGCACCTGCTTGCACAAAAAAAAAATTTCATCACTCAGCCTTCTGTGTGCGTAATTACGCACTGCGTAATTGCGTGCCCCATGCGCAGGAGCGCACCGGAGAAAATCTCTGGTGAGGAAAAAAGGCTGAGATAGCAGACCTGCTGCTGTGAATAGGAACAACAGAGGATATGAATTGTAACAGTGTAACGATGAACAGAGCAGACCAACAGTTGATAACAGATTAATAACGATAAAATCAGCAGTCATCAACTTGTGACTGATAATAAATATCTCACACTGCGACTGCATGCAGGCATGGTGTGAGCTCAAAAGTGAGGCTCCATGAAACAAATAATAATCATTCTGTCAGAACCCTGAGAACAGATTGGGTCATGGAGAAAGTAGAATCATCACAAAGATAAAAATGAATAATTGAACATGGCAATGACCAGGCAGCTGCCATACAAATATTCTCTACTGTCATCCCTCCATACAGAGCCATGGAGGATGAAAACCCTCTGGTGGAATGCGCTGAGATTCTCTGGAGGATCCAGTCCAGATGAACTGTAAGCTTCAGAAATAGCCCCACACAACCAGTGTGAGAGGCGCTGGGTGGGTAGAGGACGTCCTCTATATAGTGTGGCCGTGTGCGCCACATAACATGAAAAATGTGCGCATGAGACAGAAGGAGGTGAGATGTTGCTTTCTCCTCAGAATAATGAGGAAGAGGATAAAACCCATCCAAGGTTATCACTCTCGATCTGAATGAGCTTGTGATGCTTTTCAGAGCAGGGTTAAAATGCAGTACAGCTGAACTGCCGTCAGCTTGAATTCTGAGACATGAGGGAGCAACAGAGAGACAGACAATCACTCACTCTCTTTGCCGACGTTAGAACTAACAGCAGGGCTGTTTTAATGACAGAGTTTAAGTAAAACCTGATCTAAAGGCTCAGAAGGAGCTTTGATCAGAGCATGCAGGACCATCATTAGGTCTCACTGTGGAGCTAGTGCACGTGGCACAGGTTTGTGTCTACGTACACCTTCAGGAAACGCTTCATCAACGGGGGATTAAGAACTGTTCTGTCACCAAAGCCCTCGTGACAGGAAGAAATAGCTGCAGTATAAGTTTTAATTGTGCTGAACGCTAGATCTCTGTCCATCAGCTGCTACAGAAAGGTCAGCATGCTACCTAGTGGCCATGAGATGGCCTCCACGCCTTTCTCTGTGCACCAGCGCTGAAAAACTGTCCACTTGATGTGTACAGCGTTGTGGTAGAAGCAGCTCGTGCAACCTGAACGTACGCACCACACTCTGTGGGAGGCCCATCTTTTCTAAATGGATCTGGTCAAGTCAAGTCAAGCCAACTTTATTTATAGAGCACATTTAAAACAGAACCTGTTATCAAAGTTAGGGATGGGGCCGATCCGATCCAGTATCGGTATCGGCCTCCGATACCAGCATAATTTAGGTATCGGATTTTTCCGATCCACCTGCCGATATTTCTGATCCATGATGCACGTTGGTTTCAAACTATGGAATGGATTACCTGAACGGAGGCGTGTCTCATGAACCCAGAGTAATAAGACCCGCCTCACATTCTGGAAATCCAGTTCATAGTTTGCAGCAGCTACAACATGAGGACTGAGTTAGCAGCACTGTGGCTAACAGCTAACAAACTTTTCATCTAAACATGTCCGCTGTGTGGAAGTATTTTACACTAAACACCACAAAACAAGACAGCAACGTGCAATATCTGCAGAGCCATAGCGCCACATTAAACCACGGTAAAGTTAGTTTTATGTTGGACATTCGAGCTCCGGGGCTTCAACAGGGCGCTGCTCTTTGCTCAACCCACAACAGGCGACTCGACCCCGGCCAGCCGCGTCCAATCTGCCTCGCTCAGTCTGCCCGTCTCTGAGGAGGGACAGACTGAGCGCGGCTGCCCCAAATCAGGCTGCCTGCTTCAGACTGAACAAGAAGAAGACGTCGCTTAAACCACGGAGCTCAAATGTTTACAGAGGAGTTGCTAAACTTCATCATAATTAATGACCAACCACTATCAGTTGTAGAAAAAGAAGGATTTCACAGTTTGATACTTGCAGTCAAGATATAGTTTACCCTCCAGGAGATATTTATCAGTACAACAGTAGACAATCATAAAAAACATGATTTGAAAATTATATTAATAACAAAAGACAGTTACATTATAAAGTGATGTAAAATACTAAAAACAGGAACATGTCTGTTGGTTTATGCCATGAACTTAGCAGGTGTTTAAAGACTTTTAATATTTAATTTAATTTAATTCATTTATTTAAAAGAAACAAAAAAAAAACATCAAAAAGAAAAACATTGAATGAAAAGAGTGCAGAAAGAAGAAAAAAAAATCTTATATCTGCCCCTTATTTAAAAAAATATAAAATAACTTTAAACAATCACTTAAATTAATCACTTTAATATCCACTTTAAAGCTAGGAATAAAAATAAACATGTTTGTGTTAGCAGAATTTAATTCTAACTTTAAAACTTATCCAACAATAATACAACTTACCTCATGTTGCCTTTTTTGACATGCATGCATATATTTGTACAAATTGTACTTGAGAGGAGATTATTACAGCCTCATGTAAAATCATTGATGATCATGCTATCGGAACTGGATCGGTATCGGACGATATTCAGATTTAGGTATTGGGATAGGATCTGAAGTAAAAAAAAGTGGATCGGTGCATCCCTCTTCCTGCATCTAGAGGTGTAGATGTCTGTGATGGTGGGGAGGCTGACTCCGATAGACTTCTGTGCAGCCTTCACCACTCTCTGCAAAGCTTTTCGTTCTGCAGCTGTGCAGCCTCTATGCCACACGTTGATGCTGGAGCACAGGATGCTCTCCACTGCACACCTGTAGAAGGAGGTGAGGACTGAGCTTCCCAGACCAGCTCGCCTCAGCCGTCTGAGGAAGTAGAGTCTCTGATGAGCTTTCTTGATCAGGCTGGTGGTGTTGTTGCTCCAGCTGAGGTTGTTGTTCAGGTGTACACCCAAGTACTTGTAGCTGGAGACCACTTCCACCACAGATCCTCTTATGTTCAGGGGTGTGTACAGGTCCTTCTCAAAAAATTAGCATATTGTGATAAAGGTCATTATTTTCCATAATGTGATGATAAAAATGAAACTTTCATATATTTCAGATTCATTGCACAGCAACTGAAATATTTCAGGTCTTTAATTGTTTTAATACTGAT